TGCAAAAGCCCTGACCTCACAAATGCAATCTTTTACCTCCGGGCCCCAAGAAGCACGTGGCAGATGCGGAGCAAACCCTGACACACATGACTGACGGGTTTGTTTTTCCTCACCTTGTTCCAGGTTAGGAGATGTCTCCAATCAGCCCACAGTTTAAAAGGACTTCTCCTTTTAAATTGCGCAGCATTGGGTGTCCTTTAACCTCAGCGGTAGAAACATATAATGGTGAGGTTTTATCTTTACTGTCCCCAGACTGATGAACTGCGTTTGTGCTGGTCTATGTTGACAATTCTTCCGAGAAGCTCACAGATCACTGTGCAAATAGGACCGCAGTTTAATGTTAAGAGCGGCGATCATAAAGCCCTAAAAGACGGTTACCATGGAGCAAATGGCAAATTAAACCCATGATTTACACTTCTATAAGAAGATCAAGTTTGGTAAACCATTAAAGAATTCACTGCTTCAGTAAAAACAACATAATACAATAATTCATGCGTTTAATCTGTCAGTAATACGTATTACTGCATTCCTCCTGCCCAGTCCCACACTATTATACTTGGAGCGGCAGCTTGTAGTTTAGCCAGCGGTTTGTATGCAATAATAACACCAAATGTCTGCTGCTAAACTAGCCGCCACTGTGTTCAGGGAAGAGAGCTGGCTTTTCCCTGCACTGTCTGTCTGTAACCAGCGGTTGGCACAAAGCACTCTGCAGCATTCATCGATCTGCTGCTCGCCAGCAGCATGAGAGCAGCCATTAATCAGTCCACAGCAGCTGGCTGATGCAGGACAGCATGTTTTCTTTCTCTCCAGTTGCTTCGTCAGTGTGATGCAAATCCGGTTTGCTGCAGCAATAAACTGCCATTTTTACAGCCTTGCTTGTTTTGAGTTTCCCATTTCGACTGCAGAAATTTTGCTCTTGCTATGTGATTCATTAAAGTTCTTCATGGATAATATATGACTTCCTGTCCAATATCAGGTAAAAGGTTCAATGTTGCAGCAGCATAAGGGAAGAAATGGAGCAAATAAATGATCTGAATTGATCTCAAACTCTAGTTTGTTTTCCTAGAAAGTCAAGGCAAATGAACTAGAGTTTAAGTCAAGTTTATTTGTATAAAACATTTCAGCAACAAGGCAGTTCAAAGTGCTTTACATGTTAAATCATACCTTAAACATTGTACAGCACCCAATTATGAAACAAGCACTAAACATTCCATTTTGTCAAATCCCATCTTCAAAATCAACAGTAACCAACAGTGGATGTACCGGCTGATTGGTGGCGGTACTTTCACTGCAGCGTCAGAATGGAGGTTTTGTGTCAAATCTGCTGCCTTGAAGGCTGTACAGAATGATGTCCCTGCTAACCTGCTAGCTTTATAACTAGACTGGTCAAAAACAAAGAAATGGCAGTCTTTTTCTTGACTGTGTACATTCTGCATGTGTATTTGCAGACATAAATATCCCATTGTGTTATTCAAGTAACATTGGCAAAATATCCACTATCTTCCATGTATTTGTTTTAAGCTCCATAAAAAAGGGACAAAATAAACATGTTTCTAATACTTCGTTCAGTCTTCCACCCCATTGAAGTTGTTGTATCTCTGTAAAAACTGGACAGAACAGCCAGCAGTGTGTTCCCAGCGTGTCCTCCGTCCCTCCACATTTAAAATAGCCTAAATGGTCTTTGTTTAATAGTGCGTGAAAGCGAGTCACAAGATTTTCTGCACATGGAAAATTTTCCCACCCGGCTTGCTCCGGCTGAGGCTGGATTACAGCCGTATGATTATAGCCTGCAGCGGTGTTGTGTTGATTTGCTGTAATGTTACACCAGGAGAGTCCATACAATAAATATTCTACATGTAAATCCCAGTGTTTATATATGTGAGGTCATTTTAGAAAATCAGTTCAGCCGCTGTTTCTCTGTGGTTGTCTATTATGTTACGCCAAGAGGCGGGACCTTTTTGAAACTGCATTGAGCTTGTAATAATGGGACAACAAACCAGCACCACTGTGTTTAGATGGTTAAAGTTTAAACCGTGAACCACTTCTTTATTTTTTTTATCTCCTCCTCTATATTTTTAAATGTGCTGCTGATGAGCACTGTTTTTATTGCTATACATTGTTGTTGTCAGGTATGCAGGTAGACTCAAAATGATTAATGAATTGAAGTATGTTTTATGTTTTTGTTGAGGTCTTTATGTGCTACTGGATACTTGAATTTCCCTGGGGATTTCATGACTATCTGTGGATTAATTGTTTGATTGGTAGTCAGCCATCAGAGATGTTGGCATCTTATTCAGGTGTTGGCGCAACAAGCCCTGCCTACTTGGGATTGTCTACATAAGCTGTGTTTTGGGGAAATTGCAGTAGATTCACCATCATTCAAGGTGTTGGAAAGGTCTTCTTACTATCACCATAATCTTGATTCTCTTTCCCAATAAAGTTGGTATTCTGACTCAGCCACTCCAAACATTTCTTAAATTATTGTTGTGATAACTGGCTGGTTGCACTATCTGCTTACCCCTGATGAACTAACAGACTTCCGACCGATGATGATGTCTTGTGTGTGACAGTGCCTTCGGCGACTGAAGTCACAGTTCTGCTTTCATACAGCAAGTATCCCTCTGGTTTACTAGTGGTGGCAGTCTGATGGGGCTGTACAGCCCCTAACCCATGGGCTCAATCCCACAATGCTGCATTATAGCCTTTGGATTAAGGCTGTAGTCAAACACTAACCCCACTTCTACAGCCAGAGGCTGAATCAAACAGCTTATGTACAATTCCACCATTATTTTCCTGGACTTACCCTTCCTAACCCCTTCTATTTTAAAACTTGGCTATAAAGTGAAGAGCAAACAGTTTAATAACTCTTTTATGGGGATTTAACAGCAATATTTCCTGTTTTTACTCTCCCTCAAAACTCAGTAATGTATACCACCATGGTTGTTTATATGGGCAGGAAAAAAAGTAATACATAAAATCTCTGATAAAAATTCTCAGTTTGATATATTTTAGCGACATTTTTGCTTTTGTTTGTAAAGCTTGGGAAAGAAGGCAATGAGTGCTGTGTCCTGGTTGAGTTTAAAGATGGTGATTTGTATGAGGCCATTTTGTTTTGTACGCTTTGTATGTGGAGTGTCTTATAAGCTCACCATAGATATACTACTATGTCCTTCATAGATACATTTTTTCTGCTTTCTATCAAAATGAAATGCACCATATTTCAAAGATAAGTACTGATATTGAAGTCTGCATATATAAAGACATGCAATGCAAGAAAACCTGTAGATTCTCGGGCATTCTTTGCGCCCTCTGCGGCAGTTTTACTGTTAGACTCCTTGCAGCTTCTGCTACTGAATAATTCATGCACATGACAGGATTCATTATAAAGTGTTTCAGTTGCAGCTCCCCTCTAGCTGAGCCAGCTTCGCAGTAATGGAGGCTTGACTGAAGGCAGTGATTGATTCTGGACAGACTGTTATGGGTCAGAGAATGACGCAGAGCAAGTGGGAATTGTTCAGATCAGTGAACCATTACAAAAGGTGCAGCACAGAGTGTAGAATGCAGTTATGCAGCTCTGTCACTTTACTGTCACTGTCACTGTTTACGTCCAATAAGCTGCTGTTACAGCTCCACACTCAGCAGCTCTCTGTCATGTTGTCATGCCGTTGGGTCGGTGGATTTGGGTTTGTCATCCAAGTAAAACTTTCAGAAGTACTATAAACCTGTCACAATAAGCAAATAAGCAAGTAATTGCATAATAAATACAACTGAGCTCAATATTTCCATTCTTCATAATGCATTATATTTATGGTTTTGGTTGTTATTTCCTTTTATTTCTTCCTTTCTTGTTTTTATTTGTTGTGGGTTTTTTTTTTTTTTTAGTTTTAAATGTCTTCCAGTTCCACTGAGGAGTGTTCTGAACAAAATTAGCGTTTATTAGACTTTCCAAGTTTGAACTGGCATTATTATGCCATTATTTTGAAAATGGTCTCAAAATAACAATATTATCATTTATTGGAATCATTTCTGGGACATTTTATGATCAAGTGTATTATTATTATTATTATTATTATTATTATTATTATTATTATTATTATTAGTTTATTAATGTATTATTGTGACGCATGCATAGGTGTACATTCATTGCAAGATTTAAAAGTATATTCTACATTTTCTACAGAAAATGTATTGTTTTGTAGCATTTTGCCATAAGGCAGTACTCCCACATGCTGTATTACATTTTCAAATGTCGATCTAAATCTCAGTGTAGTGTCTCTTCCAGCTGTGCACGTCTAGAGACTGAAACTTTCTGTCCATTGATCTGAGCTCAAGCTCCGCCAGATTGAATGAAGAACATATGTAAACTACAGTTTTTTTTTTAGTTTTGCCATTGATTCTTTGTTGGATTTAGGTCTGTATTTTAACTGGGCTGTTCATACATATGGAAATAATTTGATGTAAACCATTCCACCATAACTCTGAAAGATAAACCTCTACCTCAGTTTATTTTTGCAACTTCTAACAGTCGAAGCAGAAAAGCATCCTCCCAGCATAATGCTACCATCGCCGTGTTTTGCTTTTGGTCTGTTCAAGAGGTTTACTTCTTCACATAGTAATTTGCATGTAGTTCAGAATGTTGAGGTTTTATATTTTTGTTCTACATTACACTTCTTAAATAATATACACTGAGTAAATTAAAGGATGCAAGATTTTAAGTGAACACATTATTGTCACACAAGTTAATCAGAAGGCATATTGTCACCTTTGTAAAATCACCTGTAGAATAGAATAGAATATACTTTATTGATTATCAAGTGTAAACTGTTAGTTGACAAGCTGCTCCATCCAAGGTGTTAAATATTGATAATGCAAATATAACCATAAACAATACATTTATAAAATATACCTAAGAGTGGCGTAAATAATTCAAATATGACTGAATATAAGTAAATAAATATGTCCTCATATTTCCTCATATATTTCTTCTGTGTATCTTCCAGCTGTTACGAGAACTGAAGCACCCGAACGTTATCGCCCTTCAGAAAGTGTTCCTGTCCCACAGCGACAGGAAGGTCTGGCTCCTGTTCGACTATGCCGAACATGATCTATGGGTGAGTCTTTCTGGTGATATCAGCCAAATCCACACTCTTTGTACCGAAACAGTCATTTCATTCTATTTTTGTCTACAATATAAAAAAAAATGTTTTGTTTTATCTCTAGATGATTGAAAGATAAAGCGTTTTGTCTGTCACAGTAAATCGCTCCAGTGACATCCACAGAGTGGTGGATGTGAGGCCTTGGAAACTCAAACTGTCTCAAACTTTGTCTACTTTGCAGCACATCATTAAGTTCCACCGTGCCTCCAAAGCCAACAAGAAGCCCATGCAGCTCCCCCGAGGGATGGTGAAATCTCTCCTGTACCAGATCCTGGATGGGATCCATTATCTCCACACTAACTGGGTGCTCCACAGGGATCTGGTAAGCAGCTAACTTTACTGCTCCAGTTTGCCTATGTTAACACACACCACCCATGGCACACACTTCATCCTGGAGCCATTTCCATGTGATTAAGCAAATAAATCTTTATCCTTATCTTTTAAGACATTGGTAACAACTTGCTGTGTAGATAAAAATTACTATATATGCTTCATTTATAGTAATGGAAAGAAATTATTTTAAAAATTAGCTTTTAGTTGGTTTTTGTAAAGCTAAAGTCCTAGTGCTGCAGCTGAGAAGTTTAATTCATTTTTAGTTTTCGGCCTGTAGGTGGAACAACCAGCGGGCCTTGGTCACATGCTAAGGACACACATGTTTTGAGGTTTGGAAGTATATACTGGTGGTTGACCATTCAAACCTTATAAGCAAGAAGTAAGATCTTGTAGAGTGGATGGGAGCCAGTGGAGCTGGATGAGGAGCAGGTGACATGAGAAAACTCTCCAATGGACATCAGTTATCCTCCATTAGCCTAAAGCAGCGCTGCTGTCTCTGGATTAATGTTGAAACTAAAGGACTGAGTGGCTCTCCAGTTTATCACGCTGAATCAGCGCAGTCAGCAGAGATGTGTTTCTGCTATTGTGCAGGTGTTGTTATGTCCCAGTGTGTTCTATTATTATAAATGAGATAGTGTGAAGGAGTGGGATTGTTGTGTGTGAGGAGCAGAACGCCCTGAACTCAACCATCTAATCTGACTGCAGCACACCATTAGTTACTGTGAGATTCTTCACTTCTTTCTTTTCCCACACAACTCCTTTTGTTGTTGTTGATGGGAAGTTACATTCTCTGAGACTCAGACAGAAACAACAACAATCCATGAGGAGGAATCTGAAAGTATCGTGTGTGTGTGTGTGAGCCGTGGGTTGAGATGAATTTGTTCACAAGCTGAATTGTTGCACAAGGGTTTGTTGACCTGGACTGATGAGTATAAACGTTATTGAGTAGTTAGCAGGAGTGTTCCAATGCTTCAGCTGGCAGATGAATGCAATGAAGGGTTTATTTGTGGAATAGATGAACCCAACATTTGTGGAATAATATTCCACAAATAGATTTCTCCAGAAGAGTGCCTCCAAAATTTGAAGTTTGACTAGTTGAAGGGACTTTAGATCTTAAATCAGGAGGAATGTGTGGGCAGGTTCTTGAGAAACAGAAACCTGTTTAGGCAGTCTGCTTCAAGACCTCAGGAGAAAGAAAATTTTCTGTGATCCCCTTTGGCACACTTGAAAACTACTTTGCACATGCTCACTAGGGTTGCACTGATAAATTGACCAGCCAATAAATTGACCCTGATTTCCTTAATTTTGGGAGATTGTTGATCGGCCGATACTTACTTGTGAAGACAGTCTTAACCAATTTTTATCTACATCAGTAAAGGTCTAAAAATACTGTCTTGCTCTGCTGTGGTAGAGGTTTTACTGATAGATAGATCTCTGCATGTTTTCAGTTAACAATAGTCACCCCACTGTTACCAACGTTAACAACGTATAAGTATAACAACGTTCTTGCTATACTTAGCAACATTTCAGACAAAAAATTCAGTATCGGCCAAAATCAAAAGCAGCAGGTCAGGCTTTTTAAAAATTTATCAGGGATTGGCCAAAAAACTACAATCGGTGCAACCCTAATGCTCACTATCGGTTTCCCCTCCAGAAGCTACAGAGACTGAGAGGAAAGGATAAATAAAGTATGTCAGAAAAAAACATGGCCTGCAAGTGTTTTCTGAAAATCTTTATTCTATTGCTACTTTAAGAAGAATGTGGACCATTCCAAACACCTGTAGACTATCTTAGTTTGAGCCGGTCTCAACGTTCCATTCAGAGATACAATCCAGTACAGCCTGATAGGGGGGTGATAATGACAAAACCAGAACAATCTGGCTCCGCCTCTTTTCACTTCATAATAAAAGCTTGTTGTTTTTTTGTTTTTTTTTCAGAAGTACAATAATAGCTTTGTAACTTTTGGTTATAGTTGACCTTATCAGAGTTGATAAATATCTGACTCCTCCTTCGTATGCTGTCTGTGTTTAAGCACTTGGTGCCCTAACCACAGCACAAAGGTTTTAAACCATCTGATTGAATTTGTGTTCTGATGTGGCCACAGTAGCCATGAAGTGTTCCTTAAAACAGTCAAAAACATAACGCCAACTGTTATGTACAAGTTTCTGGTATAGCTCATAAAAATATTGTTGCCTCTCTGTTATTATTACCTTCATCTGGTAGATTTTCTTTAGCTAACAGTAATCTATAGAAACTAAATAGAAATCCACAAAGAACATTTCTATTTAGGATAAACCAAGAAACAAAATAGAAAGGAATAAAACTATATAGCAAGACCTTTCAAGCAATATAAAGAGTGCTGAACAGAATATGATAAAACCTGAACTGAGGTACAACATAGTAGATCATTATAGTAAAAAATCTAAAGGAAATTAATATTCAAAATTTTTTTCAGATAAAGGGTAAGTTGATATGTGCCATGAGTTTGTTGAGGCCAGACTTAATACTGCAAATAAATTTTTTTTAGATCAAAACAGTAACTTCTTTATCATTTTAAGCAGCTTCAATTTTATGAAGCTGCTTAAAGCTTATTTAACAAATAATGTTAAATGTTAAATAAACAAATTATTTAACATTATTTGTTTAAATAATGTTAAACAAATAACATTATTTTTCATGTCTACTTTAAAGCCAAGAGACTTGAAGATCTAGTAACTGTAATATTACTAGACTCACTACAAAAGTTAAGAGAAAGACACCAACCTATCACTTTGTAATTAGTTACCTCTAATTGAAGTTCAAGCTGCAGCTCAAAGTCATGTTTGTATTAAAAAATATTGTGGTAGTATTACAAAATATATTGAAAGGTTTTAAATGAAATGAAACATTTTTGTACATACCCTGATTTTCTTATTCAAAATGTTTCCCATTGTAGATCTGATGTAAAATATTGTCTGAATGTGTTTTTTCAGTGCTTGGTGAGATTCAGATATGAAATGTTTGTGTCGTTCTTAATATTTGTAGATATTATGATGAATCTGATGTCTTTAAAACAACAAACTTAAAATGTAAGCTGCAACCCTCATCAAAACAGCTCTGTATCTGACAGTCAGCTCACAGATCTAAGTGTGTTACATAAGCAGCAGAACCAACAACCAGACACATCAGTGTTCTTGCAGCTTCTTAGCAAACAGATCTGTCACATTAGATTAAAACAACAGGACTGGTCCAATTTGCTTTCGCTGCATCTCACATGTGACTGTACGGTGCAGACTCCCACAGCCCATCTGTATGTTAGCTCCCACACTTCCATCCCAGTTCCCTCTACAGCTGCCGCTCACAAAAAGGGCCAGTGTGGTCTTTCTATGATAAAAACTAAGCAAACAGAACAGATTAGGTGGGAGAACTTCAACTTGATTGGTGCCGTCGCTGATTTGACTATCAGATGGTCAGAACAGAGGCTGTCTTTACGTAATTCCCAGCAGCCTGATATTACGCTTTGTGAGTTAAAACAGCTGAGCTGTCAGTTGTGGATAAGTGGAGTTCAGAGGTCAGCAGTTCAGGCCTTGGTCTGTATCTGTTTCTGTCAACTTTAAATCAGATTTTGTGTGCGTATCAGTAATCCATGATGATTGTTTTCTAAAATGTCTCATTGCTGCTAAACAAGCCCACACCATCAACAACCCTCCTCCATAAGTTATTGTTGTAATTAGAAAGAGTTGCTACTATCTTAAATATTTTACTATAGTTCAGTCGTTTCCTTTGTTTGATGGTGGAATCATATTTAATGGCATTTTGACTCTTCCCCGTTTGATGTCTGTCTATAGTTTCTTAGATTATACTCACAGCCAACTTTATTAAGCACACCGAACTGGTAGTTTTGCCTTATTGCTTTGACATAGAACCAAAATAATATCTGAAACATTCCTCAAAAATGTTTATCCATGTTGACATCCTAATGTGAAACACTGGCTGTAGATTTGTCTACTGCAGTGTTTTTCAGCCTTTTTTGAGCCAAGGTACA